AACAATGAATCGCACCTCAAATCGAACTTAATGAACTTTGAACTTTTCAACTTCAATAACTCGTGTTGAAACATAACAAATCAACCCGGAATGAACCCAAATTTTGCACACAAGTCCCAAATGACAAAACAAAGCTATTCCAATTCTCGGAATCACAATCCAAGTCCGATATCAAAAAGTCCACTCCCGGTTAAACTTTTCAAAAATCCAACTTCCGCCATTTCAAGCCAAATTCCACTACGGACCTCCAAATCATAATCCGGACGTGCTCTTAAGTCCAAATTTACCCAATGGATCTACCAGAACCATCAAAACTCCGTTCCGAGTTCAAATTCATAAAAAGTCAAACTTGGTCAACTCTCAAAATTTAAAGCTTCTGCAATGAAATTCATTCTTCCAATTCGATTCTGAATAACCTAAAAATCAAAACCGATGATTCACATAAGTTATAATACATCATACAGATCTACTCATGCCCGTAATCTACCAAGCGAAGTGCAAATTCTCAAAACGATCGGTTGGGTCGCTACAATTGCAATTCAATATGGTATCAAAACGAGCATATGAACAACCACAACATATTTAATGTAAATAGTTCAACGTGTTTGCGCAGTTCAATTAGATAGAAACAAAAAGAGAAAATGATTTGAAGGTATTGTTATAAACCTCATTATAGCCATATCGACGATGGTATTGCCTCTGAACGGCAGAACTGAAGAACATGGAGACATCGTAAATGAGATACGACGAGTGCTTTGTCAAATTCAACACCACGAAATCAAAATTCAACCCCACCACACTGTTTTTCAATCAAAAAAATTCACGTAAGAAAAATAGTTTTTAACCAAATAAGAAAAAAATAATGTAGAGAAGAAATACAAAACCTTTTTCTACGGAAATTCAGTACAACTTGAGGATAAAAGCTAATAGACCATAATACAAATGCAATCCATCCAAAAACATTGTACAACACTTCCAACATAACTGAATTCCACGACCCCATCAAAATCAACCTCTTTCTTTTAGACTCTTTTGTAACTTCAAAAAACAGGACAATATGTAATCTTTATGCATTCCAGCATCAAGAAGGTGAAGGAAATAGTTTTAGGTTCAGATAAGGTCTCTTTAGAGTGGGTGTCGCAGTTGTGGTGTTTTGGGGGTGCTTAAGAGGGACGTCAGCGGCTTATGGGCCTTAAGGCATTGTGGTTTTATACTAGGGTCTCTTATGTGGCGAATTTTGGTTAAGGATCGTGGTGTTCCAGCAAAGAGAAGTATCAATTTGAAGGTAATTTGGAAGGGACTTGGAGAAATAGGACAGCTTAGTAGTAGGTTGGATCAGCACAGTAATAGATATAATCGGTTATTTGGGTACTTATGATGTGGCTAGTCTCCACAGGTGTTTCATGGTAATGCTCTTGGGTTTTGGCGACCTGCGTGGCTGGGTTGAGTTAGAGAGATTCGGTTCTGATAGCTTGGTTATGAGCAAATGGACTTTAAAGAGTTCTCAATGGTTTCTACCACCGTTCGAGGGGTATATTACCTACTAGCATGAGGAGCATGTGGTGTATAGTGATTTTCTCCTGGATGAAGTCAAATGGGAGGTCCTTGGCTAATTGAGTATGTAGTTCCTTGTGACTAGGAGTGGACTATGAGGTTCTTGTATTTTTCATATGATGGCATGGTATATGTGGTGTGTTGTGTAGGATTGAGATTTACGTGAGCGAGATCACAGTTCAGTTTTGAAGGGAAGGTCATAAAATTCGTAGGCAGCATGGACGATTTCAAATGACTAGGTAAATGATATTACTATTTGGTATGGCTTGATGAGAGTATACATTTCAGAAGGGGCAATGTGTTTTGATTTATGGATACTTCACTGGTACTGCGGCACTTTCCTGGTTGATCGACAGCTGATATTCCAATTTTGTTATATGGCACGGAAGAATTTTAGAAGTATTCCTTGTGGGATGATAATTTATGAGAGATGTGTTAGACATTATGGCGGTGGACTTGGGATCAGATATGGTGATTCATGTGTTCTATGGATTTGGAGACTGGGAGTTCTCAAGAGCAGATTGTTTCATGGTTGTGGACTGTGATGTCATGGCCGAAGCTAGCTAGACGATAATATGTGTTATGATTCAGTCATTGGGGGCTTTCGGAGAGTTATTTATCTATTTGTGGGTGCCCAGAGTTGATTTGAGGGTCCATTGGTAGGCCCAATTAGGATGTGTATTCTATATCGAGCCGGATTGGTTGGTTACATACTGCTATTATTGAGGGATGTGCCATTCGGTTGTTGCTGAGCTTATTCGTGTTCTAAAATGATCTGTGAGTTACTCTTCTATGCTACAAGAAGTTGTAATTCGTTGGTTATAAGCACACCCGGTGCGGTTCTATTTGAGCTTTATAGCGAAATTTGAGCGAGATGAGTAATTGGATATTGCATGATTGATGGTGTATGGGTTATGTTCTTTCGGGTTTTGTATGGCATTGTGTCATCTGCTTCTCCATGGTTATGGTAATTCACTTTGAGTACTTGATGTCGGATTGTGCGTGGTTATTGATTTTGAGCATGGTGGCTGAGCTATTTCATATGGATGGGGTCACGCATTGCAGCGGAGTTATGTTGAGATATTGTCACGCCCCACCTCGGGGAGCGCGACCGGTGCTGAACCAAGTGAACCCGGTTGAGCAAGCCTATTGGTATGTGTTACCCTTAGACTTTTTGGTATGTGTTATGTGATTGGTATTGAGGTGACTCACATGCTAGGTGACAGGCGTGTAGGCGTGCACCATGTGAATTGGGACTATGTTGTTTCCATGGCACTGTATAGTGGTCCTACTTTGTTGATGTCTGTATTTTCACCATGTGATAAAGTAATTGAGTTGTCAATCATGCTAGATATCATGTTTAGGCTTTATGACGATACTGTTGGGACCCATAGTGATCGTTTCTTGTTGTCATTTCATTGATATTTTGTACTCAGTCATATTCATGCATTCATATCATATCTCAGTCTCAGTTGTTATTTATTGATACATCATATCATTGTTGTCGGGCTAGTTTCATGACATTGTGAGCCCGTGAGTGAGACTAGAGAGATTGATGAATGAGTGAGACCGGGGGCCTGTTTATTGAGGATATTGATACTATAGCAAGTGAGTTGTCCGTGCAGCACGTGAGTTGTCCGTGCGGATCCAAATATTGATATTATGGCACGTGAGTTGTCCGTGCAGCACGTGAGTTGTCCGTGCGGATCCAAATATTGATATTATGGCACGTGAGTTGTCCGTGCAGCACGTGAGTTGTCCGTGCGGATTATAGCGCTTGGGCTGTAGGAGCCCCTCCGGAGTTTGCACACCCCCAGTGAGCGCGGTTGATATTATTGAGGGATGGATCTTCCCTAGACATGGATCTTGTCCGAAGCATTATATACCTAGATATGGATCTTCTCCACGGGCAGGATTAGCCCTACTCGGTACTGAGTGACTGATAATCAGTTGATGTGTATATTCCGGGATGGATCTTTCCTGGGCCGGATTGGCCATATACAGTACCGAGTGATTGATCATGATGAGTGGAATGTATGAGAAAGTGAGACTGAGTACTCTGATAGTGTGAGTACATGAGTTCATATCTAAGATACATTGCATTGACATTGCACCCATGACATACATGCATAGAGATATATTTTCCTCATATTGTACGGTATCACGTAATTCATGGCTTCTCATACATGTTGATATATGGGCATAGTGATGCATTTTTTTTACACTGGCTATCTGAAAAGAAAATGAGACATCTTATTTATTATTGAAAGGATATTTGGAAAAGATTACTGTTTTCAAACTTACTCATATTTTTTGGCAACTTCGATGAACGATTTGGGTTTTCACTGATATACTTGAAAGGCAGAATATTTTCAGAAATCATGATTAAGCCGAACATTTTATCTTTGAGTTACTGCTTTTATTACTTGTGTTATGTTGTTATGAACTATTGTTGGTTATTATAGTTGGACTCTGACCTTGGTACAAGATCGTCATTACTTTCAACCTAAGGTTAGGTTTATTACTTATTGAGTACATGGGGTCGGTTGTACTCATACTATACTTCTGCACCTTGCGTGCAGATGCTGGCTGCTGATGTTGCTGTATTCATTGGGAGCTGGATCTTAAGATGTACCTGTGTTCCAGTTGTAGTTGCCTCTTGTTCATAGTAGCCTTAGAGTCACAAAACTCTGTTTATGTAATTTTCAAACAAATGATGTATTACTTCATACCAGCTTTGTAAACTCAATTCTTAGAAGCTCAGGATTTGTACTACCAGTTCTTGGGGAATGTATCATATTTAGATATTTCTTTACTTATTTACTTTATTAATTGTCATAGGAATTGGTTAGTGGTTAACTGGCTAACCTAGCTGGTTGAGTTAGGTGTCATCACGACTAGTTGGATTTTGGGTCGTGACAACAATAATTGTTCCAATGTTGAAAAGTTATAATTCATTCAAGTTTAGACGGTTATAAACACTGAATTTGCCCGTATGATATTTGGTTAAGCACATTATAGATTCAATTTTATAAGAATACTATGTTTTTGCCCCTTTATATAGGAAATATGTTAATTCAGTTTTTGCACAATGCATTTGTGGTTAAGCAGTTGAACAATTAATAATTCACTAAACCTATGATGTATAAGTATAGGAAGTAAAAGTGCACAATTTGATTAATTAATAGAAGGCTATATATGTTTAACTAAATATCACGAGGATCAAAATAAATCTTTTTAGATATTTGATGGACTAAAATCACAAACTTTCCTTCTATTTTATTTCTTCATATTAAGTTGATACTATGTTTTATAGTGAAGTTAATGACTAATGTGTTGAACTGCTAACTACCTTCATTGTTTAATTTCATATGATACTTGTAGCTACCAATGACGTGGCTTTCTCTACTCATGCAGTTGCTTTAACAACATTTATCTTATTACAGATTGCTATTTATGATGTAAGTATACCATTCTTTTTTTACTCTTTTCAGCTCAAATATTATATGCACACTGAAATGTGAGTTTATTACTTGGTTCTCATAAACATTACATATTTCTTTTTACATCGTGGAAATCAGAAGGTCTCAAAAACTGCTATTGCAATTGTCACTGTTGCTTGGTTAAGGGTTGCAGTTTGTGTTTTTGTGGCTTTCCCTAAGCATTCTTGGTTATGGCTAGCTTCCTGCTTCAAGTAAGCCACTTATTTTAAATCCACAATTAGTTCTACTTAACACCCTTTTTCTTCATGTTTTAAAATTTGCATAACAATTAAAAAAGGCCGGTGTACTAAGCTCCCGCTATGCGGGGGGTCCAAGGAAAGGCCGAACTCCAACCTCTTTATCAAAATTTCAACCTTCGGTTGGACTTTTCAAAAATCTTCTATTTTTTAGCTTTCGCCAAAATGCGTCGAATTGTCCTACGGACTTCCAAATCCAAATCCGAATATACGTCTAAGTCTGAACTCATCATACGAAACTATTTCCATCATCGAAATTCTATTTCGGGGTCGTTTGCTCAAAAGTCAACTCTCCGGTCAACTCTTTCCATTTAAGTTTCTAAATAAGAATTGTTCTTTTAATTAAATTTCGAATCTTCCGAAAATCAAACTCGACCGCACCCGCGAATCGCAATACATATTACGAAGTTATTCGAGACCTTAAGTCACTGAACGGGGTATAAATTCTTAAAACGACAAGTCGGGTCGATACCATTTCCCTAATCATTCTTGGCTATGGCTAGTATCCTGCTTCAAGTAAGCCATTTTCTATTAAATGCACAATTAGTTCTACTTAACACCCTTTTCTTCATGTTTTAAAATTTTCATAACAATTAAAAAGGGCCGGTGTACTAAGATCCCGCTATGCGCGGGGTCCGGCGAAGGGTCGGTCCACAAGGATCTATCGTATGCAACCTTACCCTGCATTTCTGCAAGAGGTTGTTTCCACGGCTCGAACCCGTGACTTCCTAATCACATGGCAATACTTTCTATTTTATTTCTTCATATTAAGTTGATACTATGTTTTATAGTGAAGTTAATGACTAATGTGTTGAACTGCTAACTACCTTCATTGTTTAATTTCAGATGATACCTGTAGCTGCCAATGATGTGGCTTTCTCTACTCATGTTGTTGCTTTAACAGCATTTACCTTATTACAGATTGCTATTTATGATGTAAGTATACCATTCTTTTTTTACTCTTTTCAGCTCAAATATTATATGCACACTGAAATGTGAGTTTATTACTTGGTTCTCATAAACATTACATATTTCTTTTTACATCGTGGAAATCAGAAGGTCTCAAAAACTGCTATTGCACTTGTCACTGTTGCTTGGTTAAGTGTTGCAGTTTGTGTTTTTGTGGCTTTCTGTCGCGACCCAAAAATCGAGTCACAAGTGTCGTGATTGCACTTAATCTTTAAGGCTAGGTAAGCCGATTTTTATAACAACTCAAGCCATTTTTAAAAAATAAAAATAGGTAATAAAAAATAACAACGAAAATAAATATGAAAATATCCCAAGACTGGTAACACTGAATTACAAACTCTAATTGAATATATGAAATGATCTCAAGGATCGAATACTTAATACTGTTTGAATAATAATTAATAGTACAATAAAATAGAAAGACTCCAAGGAACTGCGACGATAAAGCAGCTCTATCTTAAATCCTTGCGATCCCACTCTAACTTTGTCCGGGTCCGTTATCTCCAATACTTGGCTCTGCACAAAAATATGCAGAAGTGTAGTATAAGTATACCACAGTCGGTAGCCAGTAAGTATCAAGACACTCACTAGTATAATAACCTGGGCAATATAGTATACAAAATAATAAGAAACAAATAACCATAATGGCAACACTTAATCAACCAGTGATATGCACAGCAGAGCAATAAGAACACCATTAATAATGCTCAATAAATAATAAATACAACTACACACAATTAAATCAAGTCCTTCAAATATAAATTTTTCGCCTATATGCTTCGCAAATAATACTCTTCAGGATATAATACTTTTTAATAAATATATTTTGAATATACTCCCTTCAAATAAATACCTTTCGAATATAATTCTTTCGAATAAATCTTTTTCAAATATAATTCCTTCAATAAATATCATTCAAATATAATTCTTTCAAATAAATCTCTTTCTAATATAATTCCTTCAAATGAGTATTTTTCGAATAAAAGTCACCATGTGACACCTCATTTTCAAAATCATAAAGTACGGGTCTCAGCCCAATTTTAAATTTTCACAGCACCTCGTGCCAATTTCTGTACCACAATCACATGGACAACTCACGTGCCAAATGTCATTATCATTTAATCACTGCACCTCGTGCTCGCATTTCATATCACAACTGCAAGGACAATTCACATGCCAATATCATCATTATTTACTCACGGCACCTCGTGCCCACATTTCTCTTCATAATCCGCATGGCAATAACCATAGGCCCCCAATCTCAACATAAATCAGATTGTTATCAAATTACCAATAACAAGACAAATTGTATAAGGTATAAAAATAAACACAGAAAAAATCACAACATCACATAAAATTTACCAACGCAACAACTCCACCCCATCACATATCATCCCTAATAATAGCCACTCTTATATCTCATATAACCATCCTTATCACTCCTATAATAGCCTCCCTTATCCCTCCGCCCTGACAATATCAATAGTCATCCTTATCGCTCCTACAACCACCCTTATCACTCCGCCCAGATAATATTCCAACACACATAATAACAGTGAAATGCTACCCTTATACCCACATAATATCAACAATGGAATGCCATCCTTATATCCTCAAAATAACAACTCACACAACACAATAATTTATACGAAAAATTATCACGGCAACATAACAAAATCAATTCATATCACAATTTGCCCAATGGCCCCAACCAATTCCAAAGGTACAACAAATCAATTAATTTCACAACAAATAGTCGAAGGCTCCACACAATATGTATAAGACCTCAAAAACAATCAACAGAGATAGAAATTACTCAGCATAGGGCAGCACCTTCATTAATCCAAATTCTCAATAATTATATAAACACATCTTCCTAAGCTCATTTAATTAATTAGGCATGGCAAATAGATGATTTAATTAGGCATGAAAAATACAACAACCAGGATTTAGGCATGGCAAATAGATGATTTAATAAATGCCAACAATAATCCAATTTATTACATAATAATGCCTAAGACTTTAACCCAATAAAATTTACACATATAAGCCCGAGTACGTACTCGTCACGTCGCGTACACGGCTTTTCACATTTCACAAATGGCACATAAGTCTCGATGCCTAAGGGGTAATTTTCCCCACTCGAGGTTAGGCAAGATAATTACCTTTTAGAAGTTATGCCGATATTCCAAAATTGCCTTCTTGCTAGAATTGACCTCCGGAACGCTCATATCTATTCAAATTAATTGTATAACTTCATTAAAATTCATCAAAAATAATTTCGAAAAATAAAACGTCGACTTATAAATTTATTCTAAAACATCAACAAAAGTCAACGCGGGGCTCGCCCCTCGGAACCCAACATAATTTTCATGAAATCCGAATACCCATTCCGATACGAGTTCAACCATACCAATTTTATCCAATTCCGATAACAACTCGACCTCTAAATCTTAAATTTTTTCTTTCATAAAAATCGTAATTAAACGATGAATATAATCATAGATTCATGAAATATAATCACTTTAGGACATAGAACACTTACTTAAGTCAAAGTCTTGAAGAACTCCTCCAAAATCGCCCAAAACCCGAGCTCCAAAATCCCAATCGAAATGGCGAAATGACCATTTTTGGTCCTAAAATATTTTTGCCTAGTTTCACACCTGCGGACAATTTTGTCGCACCTGAGAGCTCGCTTTTGTGAGAAAATTCTCGCTTCTGCGACGTCCACTAGCCACTGCCCTCTCGCGCCTGCAGAAAAGCTTCCACTTCTGCGGTCACGCAGGTGCGGAAAATGCATCTCACCTGCGACCTCTGCCCATTCCAGTCTAGGCCGCATCTGCGACCACTTTGTCGCTTTTGCGGTCGTGCACCTGCGACCATTTCCATCGCAGGTACGATTGCACCAGAATTGAAAAACTTCCAGAATTCCTTCAAGCATAATTTTGGTCCGTTTAACCATCCCAAACTCGCCTGAGTCCCTCGGGACCTTTACCAGTTATACTAACACGTCCCAAAATACAATACAAACTTAGTCGAGGCTTCAAACCACATCAAACAATGCCGAAATTACGAATCGTGCATCGAATCGAATTATGAGTTTTTCAATCTTCCAACTTCTGTATTTTGCGCTGAAACGTATCAAATCAATCCGGAATGACTTCAAATTTTGAACACAAGTCATAAATAACATAATTGAGCTATTCCAATTTTCGGAATCGAAATCCGACCTCATTATCAAAATTTCAACCTTCGGTCGGTCTTTCCAAAAATCTTCTATTTTCCAACTTTCGCCAAAATGCGTCAAATTATCCCACGGACTTCCAAATTCAAATCCGAATATATGCCTAAGTCTGAAATCATTATACGAAACTATTGCCATCATCGAAATTCTATTCCGGGGTCGTTTGCTCAAAAGTTAACTCTCCGGTCAACGCTTTTCATTTAAACTTCTAAATAAAATTATTCTTTTAATTAAATTCCGAATCTTCCAAAAATTAAACTCGACCACATCAGCGAGTCGTAATAAATATTACGAAGTTGCCCGAGACCTTAAGTCACTGAACGGGGCATAAATTTTTAAAACGACAAGTTGGGTCGTTACACTTTCCCTAAGCATTCTTGGCTATGGCTAGTTTCCTGCTTCAAGGAAGCAACTTTGTTTTAAATCCACAATTAGTTCTACTTAACACCCTTTTCTTCATGTTTTAAAATTGTCATAACAATTAAAAAGAGTTGGTGTACTAAGCTCCCGCTATGCGCGGGGTTCGGGGAAGGGCCGGACCATAAGGATCTATCGTACGCAATCTTACCCATCATTTCTGCAAGAGGCTATTTCCACTGATCAAATCTGTGACCTCCTAGTCACTTGAAAATAACTTTACCAGTTACGACAAGGCTCCCCTTCTAAAAAAATTCATAATAATAAAAATAAAAAATTGGTCAAGTTAAATTAACAGTACTTTATCCATTTAACCACTATAACAATAAAATCTCACACTTCTTTATCTTAATTACAGCACATTGCAGGTTGTTATGACAGTAATTAAGTACATTCCCCAGATAATTGTTGTTATTTTGAAGGAAAAATACTCTGACTTCTATATGAATTGCATGTGATTTTGTTCTCTTCTATTCAAATTATAAAATTTTGTGATATGTTTATACTATTTGTTTCCTTCTCATGCTTCCTGTATTAAAGTTGGTGGCTCTGTAAAAATCTATAGGCTATTATGAATTTTCGGCGAAAAGGCACAATTGGATTTAGTATTGGAAACATTTTGCTGGATTTGTTTGAAGGTTTAACAAATTATGGGAAGATGGCAGTGCAATCCATAGATCAGCATGAGTTTCACATTTCAATTATATAGAGTTCACTAAATGTAACGATCCGCCCGGTTATTTTGAGTATTATAACCTTGTTCCCTTTTTTACTGCTCAATTTATGCTTTGCAGTTGTTTTATGACTTACCGGGTTAGTTGGTTCGGGTCCGAAAGGCATTCGGAGTGAAGCGAGACACGTAGTCTCATAATTAAAAATTTAAGTTAGAAAGAATTGACCGGATGCGGACTTATGTGTAAACGACCTCGGATTTGAATTTTGATAATTTTAATAGCTCTGCATGGTGATTTTGGACTTAGGAACGTATCCGGAAAATTATTTGAAGGTTCATAGTGGAATTTAGCTTAAAATGGCGAAAGTCAAATTTTGGAAAGTTTGGTCGGAGTTGACTTTTTTGATATCGGGGTCAAAATTCGATTCTGAAAATTGGAATACCTCCGTTATGTCGTTTATGAGATGTGTGCAAAATTTGAGGTCAATCGGAAGTGATTTGATAGGTTCTGACGTCGTTTGTAGAAATTGGAAGCTTCAAAGTTCATTAGGCTTGAATTTATGTGTGATTCGTATTTTTAGTGTTGTTGGATGTGATTTGAACACTCGACTAAGTTTGTATGGTGTTTAGGAC